ACAAAAATAAATGGCCTTCTTAGACATTATCAGAGGCTTTGTTTGATATTTCTACAAACTGGAGCCAACTGGGTGACTTATTCTGCTGATAAATTCGAGGCTACAAATATCACAACCAAACAGGTACTTGTGTATTTGTCATGTCTTCCTGGCCGGTTTGTTCACTTGATCACTCGTTAATTCTTTTTACATATATATATATATATATATGGACACACACACACACACATATAAATATATATAACTAATAAGACTTGGGGTCGTGGTTAGGAAATCAGAAGGGAAACAGAAGGCTGGAGTTATGGAATTTCCCGGCGGTGATAGTCGTTTGCTTTTCGTTTCCGCCTGCGTCCTCGCCGGGCTAATTGCAGCGGCTGCAGGAGCTGATATTTTTCAGGAGTGGCATGTTCGGTTTGATTCAAACATAAGGCCTATCTCTGCTTATCAATCGGTCAGTCAGCTTTCTTAAAAACTGTTCTTAAATCATAATTTATATATTCAAAGCATGATTCGAATTAGTTTTAATTGTATTTTTTGAATATTGATTACTTGCGTAATTCGAACAGCTCTCCTGGTAGATTTAGCTCCATAATCATAAAATTATTCAAAACTAAAATGTAATATTTATTAAAACCCGTATGTGATTTTCGTAGCGTTTTATCGAAAGACTTATATTTGTAATATTGTTGGTATGATAATACAGAAATAAAGAACTTGAATCTACTTGTTTTGAGCAGGTTATTACCATTAATGGGATGTTTCCAGGACCTCTTATTAATGCCACCACCAATGATAATGTTCATATCAATGTCTTCAATGAAATTGATGAGCCAGTGCTTTTTACATGGTATAATTTTTGCCCTTTCTCTCTCTATTTATTTTTTTTTGTTAAATGGTTAGTTATAATTAAGTTTAATTTTCTTGTGCTTTTATTTTTATTTTTTTGACAAATTATTATATTAATTTTTAAAATTTAAAACTCGTTCCCAATTATTTTTTACTATAATTTGATTCATAATATTTTTATTTATTTAAAATTATTAATTTTTTTTTATATTTTAACAGAGAAAACTAAAATAATTAAAAATTAACTTAACTAATTAATTAAATTAATAATAATAATAATAATAAACTGAATATTTAAAATAAATAAAAAAATTAGAACCAAATTATTAAATAAAAATTAATTTATAACAAGTGTCAGGAATAATTTAATCATTTCCTTTTTTTAAAAAAAAAAATAGTAAAAAGAAGATCCTTTATACCGAAATACAGCATTATGTAGAAAATTAAACTCCATATACTTGACCTAAGATTTATACACCTTATTGTTACTTGAATTTTCTTTAAACTAGCAATTGCCTGTAAAGACTGAATGAGTAGAAGAATGGGACATAGTTATGCTCTAATATTTTAAACTGACAATGAAGAATCCATGGTGGTGTATGCAGGAATGGCATACAGCAAAGACTGAACTCATGGCAAGATGGAGTTTCAGGCACTAACTGTGCAATCCAGCCAGGAAGAAACTGGACCTATGTGTTTCAAATGAAGGATCAAATTGGGAGCTTCTTCTACTTTCCCTCTATAAATTTCCAAAAAGCTGGAGGAGGGTTCGGTCCAATTCGTATAAATAACAGGATTGTTATTAATGTTCCTTTCCCTAAACCTGAGGCAGAATTTGATCTTCTCATTGGCGATTGGTATGAATATGATATCAAGGTAATTCTTGTTTTGTTCTCAACTTCTAACAGATTCTCCAGTTTTTCCAAATTCTTTTTCCTCTCTAGACTCTCCTAAGCGATGGATGATTTTCTGGTTTTCATGTCTGATCAATCAACATGGTTATAACAGACTCTCAGGTCCGGCCTTACTACTCCCGACTATTTCACATTACCTAACGTGCTGCTTATGAATGGAAAAGACTCCTACTTGGATCCACTAGGAAAAACTCACGAGTCTTTTCACTGTTACGCAAGGTGAATAACAAATCTCCCTAATACCATGTTAAATAATTGAATTAACTAAGCTTCAGTATATTTGTAATGTGAGGGAAGACGTACCGATTTAGAATATCAAATGTTG